GGTGGGGGGAGAGAATGCTGGCCTAGATGGGCCCCCCAATAAGAGCAGCCTGGCTCTTATTGCATTCCTAAATTCTCCCCTTCTCCCTTTCATTAATGTGCAGAATGCATTATCCTGCAGAGTCGGACGCCCGGTGCAGTTATCTCGAAGGGCTGTTAGCAAGGCCACTGGGTTATCGCGGTATCTTATCCGTGGGGCAATTGGGCCTGCCTGTGGCTTGGCTCTTATCGCACCGGATTGATAACCTTGGCCAAGGCAACCGCATTGCAAGCCAAGGGGTGTGGAAGGCTGCAGCGGCCCTGGCCTGCAGGAGGCGCACAATCTCTTGCTGAACAGCTATGCAACGGACGCCAACAGGGCTGCAAACGAATCCATGCAACAGGGCGATGAATCCATCGCACCCGCTTTCAATGGGGGTTTTGCTTGCATGCACAGTGGAAATCTCTGCATGCTCGATGGATAAACACACATTCCTGTGTGTGTACTTGCAAATCCCCCCCCCCGGCAGATGAATCATATCTGCCTGGTAGATTTGATGCTGTATGTAGTGTCACCTGAGGGCTGGTGGGAGTTGTAGTTCAAAAACAGAGGGCACCAGGTTGGAGGAGAGGCTAATTTAAGTGGTTTTGGCTGGGGCTAAGGCACTTTTTCGTTTTTAAATTCTGTCATGTGCACAATGGAGGAGTGTGTCTGTGGTTGTTGTTTAGTCATTTAGTGGTGTCCGACTCTTCGTGACCCCCTGGACCAGAGCACGCCAGGCCCTCCTGTCTTCCACTGCCTCCTGCAGTTTGGTCAGACTCATGCTGGTAGCTTCGAGAACACTGTCCCACCATCTCGTCCTCTGTCGTCCCCTTCTCCTTGCACCCTCCATCTTTCCCAACATCAGGGTCTTTTCCAGGGTGTCTTCTCTTCTCAGGAGGTGGCCAAAGTCTTGGAGCCTCAGCTTCAGGATCTGTCCTTCCAGTGAGCACTCAGGGCTGATTTCCTTCAGAATCAATTGGTTTGATCTTCTTGCAGTCCATGGGACTCCAGCACCAGAATTCAAAAGCATCATTCTTCGGCGATCAGCCTTCTTTATGGTCCAGCTCTCACTTCCATACATCACTACTGGGAAAACCAGAGCCTTAACTATACGGATCTTTGTTGGCAAGCTGATGTCTCTGCTTTTTAAGATGCTGTCTAGGTTTGCCATCGCCTTTCTCCCAAGAAGTAGGCATCTTTTAATTTTGTGACTGCTGTCACCATCTGCAGTGATCATGGAGTCCAAGAAAGCAAAATCCCTCACTGCCTCCATTTCTTCCCCATCTATTTGCCAGGAGGTGATGGGCCCAGTGACCATGGTCTTCATTTTTTTGAAGAAGAAAAAATGATCTTGGGGTTTTTTTGGGGGGGGGGGAACAAAATCAGACACAGTGTGTCTGTGGAGACGAGGTCAAAACATTGGAGAGTTACAGGAAAGGCATGTTTTGTTGCAGCCGGGGGAAATGAAGGCGTCCAATTGTGCTGCTGCCGATGCATCAGGCTGCTTTCTTCTCCTCGCGCTCCTCCCAGCGGTCATTCCTCCTCTGGTCACCGACGTGGATGCACAACCTGACTGACTCCAGGCGCAGCGATTGTGTGCAAGGGATTCCCACACAGCGGGACTGATGTTGCCAGCTTCCACGTTAGAGACATCTTTGTAATGCAGAGTTGGTCTGCCAACTGGCCTGGTCTCTGAAGACAGCTCCTTGTAGAACCTTGGGGGATCCTACCCTCTTTTATTCTGTGGGCATGACCAAACCAGCGTAGACGTCGCTGAGACAGGAGTGCAAACATGCCGGGAATGTGGGTATGGGAGAGCACATCTTTGAGGCTCTGTCTTGCCATGCTGGCGAGGGGCTGATGGGAGTTGTAGTCCAGCACTTCTGGCAAAACCTATGCTAAGCTGCCATCACAGCACCCTTGACCCTCCTTTCGACTGGCAGGTTTGCACCCTGCAGTGTTTGTATAATTGATTGTTGTTTAGTCGTTTAGTCGTGTCCGACTCTTCGTGACCCCATGGACCAGAGCACGCCAGGCAGTCCTGTCTTCCACTGCCTCCCGCAGTTTGGTCAGACTCATGCTGGTAGCATTGAGAACTCTGTCCCACCATCTCGTCCTCCGTCATCCCCTTCTCCTTGTGCCCTCCATCTTTCCCAACATCAGGGTCTTTCCCAGGGAGTCTTCTCTTCTCATGAGGTGGCCAAAGTCTTGGAGCCTCAGCTTCAGGATCTGTCCTTCCAGTGAGCACTCAGGGCTGATTTCCTTCAGAATGGAGAGGTTGGATCTTCTTGCAGTCCATGGGACTCTCAAGAGTCTCCTCCAGCACCAGAATTCAAAAGCATCCATTCTTTGGCGATCAGCCTTCTTTATGGTCCAGCTCTCACTTCCATCCATCTCTACTGGGAAAACCAGAGCTTTAACCATATGGACCTTTGTCGGCAAGGTGATGTCTCTGCTTTTTAAGATGCTGTCTAGGTTTGTCATTGCTTTTCTCCCAAGAAGCAGGCGTCTTTTAATTTCGTGGCTGCTGTCACCATCTGCAGTGATCATGGAGCCCAAGAAAGTAAAATCTCTCACTGCCTCCATTTCTTCCCCTTCTATTTGCCAGGAGGTGATGGGACCAGTAGCCATGATCTTCGTTTTTTTATGTTGAGCTTCAAACCATATTTTGCGCTCTCCTCTTTCACCCTCATTAAAAGGTTCTTTAGTTCCTCCTTGATTACATTTCATTCATTTCTTATATTCCGACGCCGCTCACAAGAAGTCACAAAGCGGCTTACGTCCAATAAACGACAACATAGTAGAACATCACAACTGCGACGTAAATTATATAAAACAATTAATAAATCATCAGTATAAACAACCATCTTCTGCAAAACACTACAAACAAAACAACTTAAAACATAAACAGTACAACCACAAGAAACGTCCTGTTGTAAAACCCACAAAGCGTTACAGCACTCATAATCCACAAAGCAATATTAACAACATTGACAAACTAAGCACTGCTGAATTCACACTCTCGCTCTCTCCCCACCCTCATGACTCATAGTGTCCACAGTCCATCAAAAAAACACCTTCCCATAATGGCTGCGGAAGCAACTTCCTGGATCTCTCTAGGTGCATTTCGTTTTTTTGTTTTTAGAAAATCTTTATTAATTTTCACATAAATATACATGAATTACATAACGTACAAAACAAAAAAAACACTACAAATAGAAACAATAAAGTAAGAAAAGATAAAGAAACAGACATAAACAAATACGATGTATTACACTTACATGACAAATTAAAATATATCTTCCAATAATTCTCATTATACTACCGTATTTTTCGCCCTATAGGACGCACTTTTCCCCCTCCAAAAATGAAAGGGAAATGTGTGTGCGTCCTATGGGGCGAATGCAGGCTTTCGCTGAAGCCTGGAGAGCGAGAGGGGTCGGTGCGCACCGACCCCTCTCGCTCTCCAGGCTTCAGGAGAGCCCCAGCGCCAGCCCCACAAGCTCCGGGGGCAGTGGGGAGGTGCAGCGCCTCTGTCGGGGGACAGAGGGAGGCGGAATGCCGCCATCCCGCTGTCTCCCGAAGTGGTTTGGAGGCTGACGGCGGGGAGACCCCGCCGCCAGCCCCGCAAGCTCCGGGGACAGTGGGGAGGTGCGGCGCATCTTCCCACTGTCCCCGGACCTGGTCTGAAGGCGGGCTGCGGGGAGAAGAGCGCTTCTCCCCGCTGCCAGCCCCACAAGCGCCTGGGGGGGGAAAAATAATTGTTTTTTCTTTATTTCCCCCCCAAAAAACTTGGTGCATCCTATGTGCCGGTGCGTCCTATGGGGCGAAAAATACGGTGCTTATATTATCTGTACTCTTTGCACAGATTCATATTATTTTGTTTTGTGTACTGTGTGTGTGTGTGTGTGTGTATAATCCAATATTATATTTTATGCATTTTTTGCTTACCAGTATCACTCTATTTCTGCCAGTGTCTTATTGTTCGTACAGTACGATTTTAGATATTCTTTGAATATTTCCGATTCCCTATACTGTATACCTTCTGGTGCATTGTGCACTAACTGAGGATGCTGCGAATTGTAGTCCTAAACACCTGGATGGCACCAGGTTGTGGGGGGGAAGAGGCTGAGTTAAGTGGTTCAGGGGTCCCGTTATTTAGGATCCAAGTGCTGCTGGCTATCTTATTATGGCTATCAACCTTTAAGTGAATCACACATCTGTTTCCATGTGGAAACACCCATTGATGGCCGTAATCTCTGCAAGCGATAGAATGCGGCCCAAATGGCGCAACTTTGCAGAGGGAAGTGAAAGGCTCCTTTGGGGAAGGAAAACCTTGAGCAGGACCTTGACGCCCCTTTAACCAATTAAGGTTTTTTTTGTGGGGGGGGTTAGGGGGGGAGCAGAGCCCTGGAGGAGTATCCTCCCTCCCCTTTAAAATAAATCTGTTTCCCCCCACTTACCTGCCTGTATTTTATCACAAATATCCGGATAACCAGCTCGCGCGCGCGCTCTCTCTCTCTCTCCTATATATAGAAATATATATATTTCTATATTTCAAGAAATATATATATATATTTCTTGTGAATGTCAACAGCCTAGGACAACCCTAGTTTGGTTTAGTTTTATGCCTACAAACAAAAACATCAAGTCTTTTTACATGTATCCTACTTTATGCTCAGTAGAGCCGTTTGTTTGTTGGTGTTGGTGTATTTAAAATGAAAAGTCAATAGAAAAAATAAAATAGTTTTTATGCATTTGACTATTTGGGTTATAATGGATAAAATTTAACAAAAACACTCTTGAAAGAAATCTCTGTTGCCAGAGACTCAGATCCAGGCTGACAAATGTTAGGAAGAAGGCGAACACGCAAGCACCCGCCCTGGGTAGGCAGAGAACCAGCCCCAGGGCCGGCTTTTTCCAGCCACGCAACCCGCCCGTCCCCACCCAACTCTAAAAACACGTGTCTGCCCTTGCAAGAAATCCGGTTGCTGTGCATACACAGGGCAGCCCGGGAAGGCAAGCCCTTTCCTTTGTCCCGGGGAGGCAAGAGGCGCGGCGCCCCATGGCCTCCCGCGTACACGCGTAACGTGAGAACGGTGGGTGACGCGGATCCGGGTTAGTGGGTCGACGCGTGTCAAGCCTGCCTGGCCTTTTTCTTTTTTTGAGGGGTGGGTTGCATCTGCCTCCGCCTTCCTCCTCCTCCTCCTTTTCCTCGCCGGCCAGCCGAGGCTCCTCCCGGGCAGGATCTGAGCTCACGGCGGCGGCGGATGCAATCGCATCCCGGCGGGAGGAGGAGGAGGAAGCCGGGCCGGGCCGGTCACATGAAGAGCCCGTGACCCGCCCGGCGCTGGAGCCGGTCCGGCCGAAGCTCCATGTCGCCTCCCGGGGCTGCTGCAAAGGACGCGGCCAGGTCGGTGCCAGGCGGGGGGCCCAGGACGCCTGGGTCCCTCCGGGGTGGGGGGTGGGGTTGCAAGGAAGCGGGGGCCCCACCCACCCCCGGGGGATGGAGCCAGGACGCCTGGGTTCTCAGCATCACCGTCCCGCCCCTGGGGCTGAGAAGGGGCCCCGCTGCGCCCCTGGGCTTGATGGGAAAATCTCTGCTCTCAGGATGCCCTTCCCAAATCAACCCCCCCCCCATCTTGGTAAACCGGAATCCCAGGAGATTAAGGGGGGGGAGTTTAGGAGGGGATCACTCCTGATCTAGAGTCATGGATGCTTTTTAGCACATTTCTTTTTTGGGGGGGGGGGGTGTTACAAATTATTACCCGGTTTTCCTGTCCTCCCTCGTAACGGGAGTTGGCTGAACGCCACTCTCCCCACCCTCCTTAAAAAAAATTAACCCACTGTTATTATGACTATTTTATCAATATGCCGTATGTTATGCTATTCGTTGTTATGCTGCATAAACTACATTCTTCATATTGGGATCTTTGGATAAAGGGCGGTTTATGAGCAATTGCCAACCTAGCAGTTCGAAAGCACACCAGTGCAAGTAGATCAATAGGTACCACTCCAGCGGGAAGGTAAACGGCGTTTCCGTGCGCTGCTCTGGTTCGCCAGAAGCGGCTTAGTCATGCTGGCCACATGACCCGGAAGCTGTACGCCGGCTCCCTCGGCCAGTAAAGCGAGATGAGCGCCGCAACCCCAGAGTCAGGCACGACTGGACCTACCACTCAGGGGTCCCTTTATCAATTGAACAAATAATAATAATAACTTATTTTTGTCCTGGTTGTGCAACAATAGACACATGGGCTCCTCTGAGCATGCACCGAATTCCTTATTCTGAAGGTGGTGGACTCTTCTTCCTCAAAGGTCAGACGGCTGCCTGTCAAGGGTTCTTCAGCTGCGATTCCTGCTTTGCGGGTGGTGGGCTGGGCTGGATGACCTTTGGGGGACCCTGAACAACAAAGCTATGATTCTGTGCTCACCGCTGAATGGTCCCAAAGAGGATCCACGAAGAGAGCTTTCTTCCATGCCCGTGGGTCGTGGGGCCCAGCAGTCTCCCCCAAGCCCCCCCAAGGACCCTCCCTGTTCCAGCACCTACCCCCCCCAACACACCTTTCCTTGAGGAACAGGCCTGTGTAGTTCAGGGTCAGAGCTCCTGCTTGGCATGCAGAGTTAACCTATGGAACTCACTCCCACAGGACGGAATCAGGGTTGGCCACTGACCTGCATGGCTTTAAAATGGGGTTTGGCAAATTCGCGGAGGAGCAGAGGGCTCTTGGCCTCGGATCCATAGAATCTTAGGATTGTTGCGTTAGGGTCACCTAGTCCAACCCCCCTGCAATACAGAAAACTTTTGCCCGACCCGGAACTCGAACCCATGTCCCTGAGATTAAGAGTCTCATGCTGTACCGATTAATCCGTTCCAGACTTTTGAAAACAGCAGTGCAACATGAATTTTACTTTCTAATGAGACCATTGATCCATAAAATAAAAGCAATGATCAGTGTACTGTGCTATAAAATAAACAAGGCAACATTGTAGATGACAGAAATTAAAATTATTATTTTTTCCTTACCTGCGCGGATGATAGTCGTCGTTTGGTTGGGGGGCTTTTATCCATTTCCGCAGTCACACACAATCAATCAATTGGTAGCCGAACTGGGTTCCACACAGTCGCAAAAGACAAAATAACCAGAAAAGCCTCAAAAACAAAAGCGCAAAATAAACAGCGAAAACAAAAGCGCCAGAATTAATCCGTCCCGGGAGTCCGCTTGACTTCTGAAATGTTTGAAAACCAAGGCAGGTGCAGCCGCCCCGGAAACAATAGCCGACAGCCGCATCGGACGTCCGGTTTTTGAAAAACGGAACTTCTGGGTTTTTGGCTTTGGGGATCCAAGGTACCACTGTAATGCACATCTGGTTGGCTAATGTGAGAATAGGATGCTGGACTAAGATGGGCCATTGGCAAGAAATTTCTTGCATATGTGGTGGACATGTTCCAATACTAAAGCCTTTTGGGATATAATATATAATGAATTGAAAAAGATATTTAAGTATAATTTCTGCAAAAAACCAGAGGCTTTCCTGTTGGGGTTAATTGAGGAAATCCAAATGAAAGATGTAAATTTGTTCATGTATTCAACCCCTAACTCCTGGCCCAGAAATGGAAGCACCAAGAACTCCCCACATTGGAAGATTGGCAAGTAAAGATGGTCGAATACGTGGAGCTGGCGAAGCTGACGGGGAAGATTCGGAATGGCTGTGATGATTTGTTCCAAAAGGACCGGGGCAAATTTATACTCTATATGAAAGAAAATTGCAAACAGCTGAATAAGTTTGTAGGTTTAAGCTGAAATGTTTGGTAATGGGAAATTAAGGAGCTGATTTACTTAGAAGTAGGCGATTGTTAAAAGATTGATTTAAGGTAAAAAAGTGAATTTAGGAACGTGGAGAAATTGGTAATGAGATATGGAGGTCTGTTGGAGGGAAGGAAGGAGGCCAATGCTTTATTTAAGCAATGTCTTAAGCCATGAATTATTATTTTTTGAGATTGAAATGTAATAAAATATGGAAAACTTAATAAAAATTATATTAAAAAATAATAATAAGATGGGCCTTTGGTCTGATCCAGCGATTGGAGCTGATGGTTACAACTGCTGCAGCTAATCTCTCTCTCTCTCCCCCCCCAATCTTCCTGTTTTCTGCCCCCCTAGATAAAGCGGGGAGCTTGCGGCCCCCCCAGGCCATGTCTACAGAGAGCTCCCCTCTGCTCAGCTACCGGCTCTTCCGGGTCTCTAGCGAGGGCGAGATGCCGGGGGGCGGCCAGGAAGAGGCCCCCCTGGTGGTGGGGGTGGCGGGGTCGGCCACAGGGAGCTCCCACCATGACCCGGCCCGGCAGCTGTCGACGTTCTTCGGGGTCATCGTCCCCACGGTCCTCTCCATGTTCAGCATTGTGGTCTTCATGCGTGTGGGTGAGTCGGGCTCTGGGTTCGAGAGGCACCAAGTCAGCTGTCCTTCTCTGCACCACCACCCCTTTTATAAAAAAACCCCAAAACCTGACCTTGATCCCTGTCTCCACGCAGGGTTTGTCATCGGCCACGCAGGCTTCCTGCAGTCTCTCCTTATGTTGGTGGTGGCCTATGTCATCATTTCCTTGACCGTCCTGTCCGTCTGCGCCATCTCCACCAATGGAGCGGTCCAGGCAGGCGGGGCTTACTGTATCCTTTTTTTGGGGGGGGGCAATTCGACGCACTTTGGTTGCTCTTGGATGGAGCAAGGGGGGAGAGTAGGCGGGTGGGAGAAAGCAAAAAATAATAATAATTTTTTTAATAATATATATATTTTTTTACCAAGCACCAAAACACAAGTAGTGAAACCCCCCCAGGCAGCTGATACATTGGGTATAAATATTCAATAATATACATATTCAATAATAACATATTCAAATCAACCATATGTACACTTCTATAACCTTAACAATCCTCCCTCCACAAGGTTTATTTAACTTTAAACATTTTAATTGCCCCAAATTGTTCAAACCTGCCCAAATAATTCAGTATCTTCTCAAACCAATCCTCCTCTTTCTCACTGGCCTTAAGCCCTTTCATTTTATGTATCTTCACAGTCAGGTATTCTAAAATATTATTCAGTTTTTTCCTCCATTGTTTCACCCCTAGCTCTTCTGCATTTTCCCAATTACTCGCTATAACCTGCCTGGCTGCAATTGCCATCACTTTTACCCATTTACATTCCTCTTTTGTTTTTTTCATCTATTCACGCGGCACACAGTTAAACTATGGAACTCCCTGCCACAGGAGGCAGCAATGGCCACCAACCTGGACGGCTTTAGGATTGGGCGAATTCATGGAGGAGGACGAGAGGGGCTGTCGGTGGCTGCTGGCCAGGATTTCTCTATGCCAGGCATAGGCAAACTCGGCCCTCCGGATGTTTTGGGACTACAATTCCCATCATCCCTGACCACTGGTCCTGTTAGCTAGGGATGATGGGAGTTGTCGTCCCAAAACATCTGGAGGGCCGAGGTTGAGGAAGCCTGCTGTACGCTCTGCCTCCACTTATCTGTGAGAACAGGATTCTGGAGTAGATGGGCCTGATCCCGCAAGGATTTAAAGAACTGGCAAGCTTTTTCCCAGCTCCCAAAGGTGGTACATGCCGCTCTGAAACTCTTGGGACTACGATAAAAGTCCTGTTCTTTCTGCCCCCCCCGAACTTGTTCCAACTCTGACCATCCCAGAAAGAGGCCCTTGAATTGTGGCCCGAATGGAGTCAGCCCTCGCTAGTTCCTGCTCCATGCCGCCTGGTAATTGGAGGTAGAATTCCCTTGTACATGGAGGCTCCACAGCTATGCTCATCCTCCGTGAGTTTGGGAGGGTGGCGGTTCCTCAACTTCTCCTCTTTTGAAACTTTGCCTTAACTGACAACCTCCCCCCCCCCAACCCGGCTGCTTTCAGTCATGATCAGTCGGACCCTGGGCCCCGAATTCGGTGGCAGCATCGGGCTCATGTTCTACCTGGCCAACGTCTGCGCTTGCGGAGTCTATGTCCTCGGGCTGGTGGAAGCCATTCTGGACGACTTCGGAGCAGGTGGGTGTCAAGACGAGCGAGGGGTGTTTACCGTATTTTTCGCTCCATAAGACGCACCTGGCCATAAGATGTGCGTAGTTTTTAGAGGGGGAATGCAAGGGGGGGGGTTCTTTAAAGGGAGCACTGAGCAGAGACTGTATGCATCCCAAGCTCTGCTCAGCGCTCCCTTTCACGAGCTGCGAGGAGCGTGTGTGCGGCGCTTGCAGGCTTTCCCCAAGGAGGGAGAAGCCCCCGAGAGCCGCACACACGCTCTGCGCAGCTCTTTAAAGGGAGCGCGGCTACCCCAGGCTTTTGCCCGGAGGCTCCCCGTGCCCTGAAGAGGCTTCGCACGGCTAAGCCAGAAACTAGAACAGCAAGAGGGACGCGTACACATTTCCCCTTACTTTTTAGGAGGGAAAAAGTGCGTCTTATAGAGCGAAAAATACAGTGTTTATGTCGTGCAATTTATATTCTGCTTGATTGGCGGGGGGAAAGAAACGACTAATGGTTTTTGGTTGGGGACTGGAACCGGGAAAAGGGTGGGTGGAGTTTGGGAATCCAAAGGGTATATAAATATAATCTGGTTTGTTTTTATATTCTTGCTAGCTGTATGGAAAGTGGGAAAACCGTGGAAGGGAAATTTTGGTCGACTTTAGGGAAAAAGTTTAAGAATAATGAATGAGGTATAAATATTGATGTAAATTTGGATAAGTTAAAATTGGCTGTTTAAATCAAATAGAAATAAGGTTTGTAAAAGTAATTTGAGGAAATGGAAGAAAGAAGACAAGTATAATAACAGCATGTTAGAACAAAGTATTAAGTTAAAGTGGAGAAATAAGTTAAGGACTTGCTGAACGGATAATCTAAAATTGGAATACAAGAAGGGGAGGTGTGAGGAGGTCTGAGAAATAAGGTTAAAGAAAATAAGTAATTGAAGTTTTATGTGTTTTTTAATTGTTGTTAAGTTTTGAATTTTTTGTTTTGTTTTGGGTGGTTTTTATTTTGTTTATTTTTGTTTTTGATTTTTATATGTATGTTGAAAATTCCAATAAATTTCCATTAAAAAAAAAAGAAAAGAAAAAGAAACGACCTCAAAGCCGTTTACGAAAGAACAAAACGACGAGATTATCAGCTGAAATTCCTGCATCGCAGGGGGTTGGGCTGGATGACCTTTGGGGGACCCCTTCCGAATCCACAGTTCTGTGATTCCTAACCTCTCTGCCTCCCTTCCCCAATGCCTGCAGATGGATCCGACCCTCCCGGGGCAAAGGCTCTCCCCCAGGGCTACCTGTACAGCTTCCTCTACGGCTCGGTCGTCCTCCTGGTCTGCCTCCTGGTCTGCCTGGTGGGGTCCCACATCTACTCCCGGGCGGCCTTCTTCATCTTCCTGGTGGTCAACGCTGTCCTCATCACCATCTTTGCCAGCTTCTTTGCCGTGTCGCCTCGGGAGATCGCGGTCTCCCGGGACGGGAACCACAGCTTCAACGCCTCCTTCACCGGGTTCAACGTCTCCACGCTCAGGGACAACATGTATGGTAAGTCTGCGGCGGGTGCAGAACGACCGAGGGAGGGAGGAGGCCCAGAGCAGAACTTCGCCAACCGGGCGAATGTACAGAGAGCTAAAAGCCAAAAGGAAACAAACAGAAACGCCTGCAAACTTTCTGAGCAACTGGGCAGGGGGAATGCCTTCCACAGATGCCAAAAGGATTATTATTATTATTATTATTATTATTATTATTATTATTATTATTATTAATTTATTTATTTATACCCCTTCCATCTGGCTGGGCCACTCTGGGTGGCTTCCAACAAAAGATTAAAATACATTAAAACACCAGCCATTAAAAACTTCCCTAAGCAGGGCTGTCTTCAGATGTCTTCTAAAAGTCGGATAGTTGTTTACAGTGGTGCCCCGCAAGACGAACGCCTCGCAAGACGAAAAACCCGCTAGACGAAAGGGTTTTCCGTTTTTCAATGTGCTTCGCAAGACGAATTTCCCTATGGGCTTGCTTCGCAAGACGAAAACGTCTTGCGAGTCTTGCGATTTTTTTCGCTCCGCCCCCCTTTTTCTAAGCCGCTAAGCCGCTAATAGCCTTTTAGCCGCTAAGCCTTTAATAGCCGCTAAACCGCTAATAGCGCTAATCCGCTAAGCCGCTAATAGGGTTGCTTCGCAAGACGAAAAAACCGCTAGATGAAGAGACTCGCAGAACGGATTATTTTCGTCTTGCGAGGCACCACTGTATTTCCTTGACATCTGCTGGGAGGGCGTTCCACAGGGCGGGCGCCACCACCGAGAAGGGCCTCTGCCTGGTTCCCTGTAACCTCACATCTTGCAGGGAGGGAACCGCCAGAAGGTCCTTGGGGCTGGACCTCAGTGTCCGGGCTGAACGATGGGGGTGGAGATGCTCCTTCAGGTATACTGGACCGAGGCCATTTAGGGCTTTCAAGGTCAGCACCAACACTTTGAATTGTGCTCGGAAACGTACTGGGAGCCAATGGGGGTCTTTCAGGACCGGTGTTATGTGGTCTTGGCGACCGATCCCAGTCCCCAGTCTGGCTGCCGCATTCTGGATTAGTTGCAGTTTCCGGGTCACCTTCAAAGGTAGCCCCACATAGAGTGTGTGGCAGTAGTCCAAGCGGGAGATAACCAGAGCATGTGCCACTCTGGCGAGACAGTCTGTGGGCAGGTAGGAAAGGAATGCAGCGAAGGTGCAAGACTGATATCAATGGGCAGGGAGTTCCAAAGTGTCAGTGCCACCACACTAAATGCCAAGGTTCTTGCAGGTGCAGTGAGGGCATTGTGTGGCACAGGCGAAAGTGCCAATCTCGCTGATCGAAGCAGTTATGCGGGCGCATACATTGTGTGTGTGTCTCCTACGAACATGCTTCTCTCCCTCCGCAGCCATGTACTCTCGCGATTACACCACCAACAACATCATGTCCTTCGCCACCGTCTTCGCCGTTATGTTCAACGGCTGCACGGGCATCATGGCTGGGTCCAACATGTCAGGTGAGGTTTTCGGAGGGTGGGCCGGGGCGAGGGGGGCAGCAGGAGGTGGGTTTCGGGGGCGCATGCGCTCCTTTCTCGTGGCTGGGCGCTTGGGACCCTGCACCCATTTTGCAGGGAGAGCCTTTTTTAAAAACGTAGTTTTGTTAATTTCCAATATATGACAAAAACGAGAGGGGTGGGGAATGCAAAACCAAAATCCCAACTTGCCTTAAAGCCTCTCTTTTTTAAAATAGGGGAACTCAAAAACGCCAGCAGCTCCATCCCGAAAGGGACCATCATTGCCGTGGTCTACACTTTTGTCATCTATTTCCTTCTCTTCTTCATGACCAGCTTCACCTGCGAGAGGTGGGTGGTAGTTCATTTGCAAACCGGCTTCGGTGGGTTTCAACGATCGAGCGGCATATGGACTTTATGAAAATGAAATGAAATAGAGCAAATAAATATTTTGCTAGGGGCAGGCCCCGCTAATACCCCTTTACCCTTCCCCAACAAATGACAAATGCCCCCTCCCTTTACACCTCACCGACCCCCTCCCCTATCTCCCACACAACTCACCCCAAGCCCCTCCCTCCCTTCCCCAAGCCCCACCCCTTTTTCAGGAGTGGGAGGAGCTTCACAGAGCCACCCCTCCCTCCCCATTAAACAGCTCGCTTGGGCCTGCCTGAGGTTCCTCGCACTGCAGTTGGCATGGCCTCGTGTCAACTGCAGAGCGTGACGACACCCTTCATTTCTATATATATAGGAAGAAGTTCCTTGCCCGACTACACTGCTGGCCAATTAGGTTTCAAAGTACTGGTTTTGACCTATAAAGCCTTAAATGGCTCGGGGCCGCAATACCTCAAGGACCGCCTCTCCCCATATGAACCGACCCGGACCCTGAGATCATCTTCCGAGGCCCTCCTTCCTTCCCCCCCCCCGAGAGGTCCAGGGGGGTGGCAACAAAAGAAGGGGCCTTTTCTGTGGTGGCTCCCCGTTTGTGGAATTCTCTCCCCGGGGTGGTTCAGCTGGCAGCTTCATTATATATCTTTAGGCGCCAGGCAAAAATGTTCCCCTTCAACCATGGCATTTTAGGTGTGTTTGTGAGTGGGTGGGATATCGTTTTCTTTGTGTTCTATTGTGAATTTTGCATTCTCATTTTATATTTTTATGTTGTGAGCTGCACTGTGATCAATACAGTGAAGGCACTAGCCTGGTGTCAATAGGCAGGGAGTTCCAAAGTCTAGGTGAAAGTTTGATTTCTTACAAAGGCGGAATGGGCGTTGTGTGGCACTTGCAACGGCGCCAGTTCTGCTCTTGTGTTCTTACGTATTGGACTACCCCGCAGGGCTCTGCTGAAGGGGGACTACGGCTTCTTCCGGGCTATCAATGTATGGCCGCCCTTTGTGTTGATCGGCATCTACTCTGCGTCGCTCTCGGCATCGATGAGCAACCTCATTGGCGCGTCGCGGATCCTCCACGCCCTGGCAAAGGACGACCTGTTTGGTGAGTCCTTCCCCTCCAGAAAAATCCCTTTACGTGAGTGCAGGGGGGATCCATAGCTCTCCGGGTGCCGCTGCGCTACAACTCCCACCGGGCGCTACAGCTCCCACCGTCGTCCCTGCCCATTGGCCGTGGTGGCTGAGGGGAGTTGGGAGTCCAGAAATATATGGAAAGGATCCACAGGCATTCCCTGCCTCGTCTCCCCAAGCCCGCCTTCCCTCGCCAATGATCCCATTGTTGCCTTTTCACGGCAGGAATCGTCCTGGCTCCGGCGAAGATTGTTTCCAAAGGGGGCAACCCGTGGGTGGCCGTCCTCTACACCTGGGCGCTTGTGCAGGTACGTTCTCCTCTTTTCCTCCTTCGCCTTCCACCCTGTGCCGCTCAGGGGAACCCCAGAGCTGCTCTGTCCTGGCCAACATTGGAAAATGAGAAAACGGAAGGGCATAGATCATGGGTAGGCAAACTCAGGCCTGGGGGCCGGATATGGCCCAATTGCCTTCTAAATCCGGCCCACAGTCTGGGAATCAGTATGTTTTTACATGAGTAGAAGGTGCCCTTTTATTTCAAATGCATCTCTGGGTTATTTGTGGGGCCTGCCTGATGTTTTGACAATGAGTAGAATATGTGCTTTTATTTAAAATGCATCTCTGCATTATTTGTGGGGCATAGGAATTCGTTCATTTTTATTTCCCCCCAAAATATATTCCCCCCCGCACAAGGTCTGAGGGACAGTGGACCAGCCCCCTGCTGACCCCTGGCATAGATGCTGAAGGGCAAGACAGGGGAGCAGCGGTCCTAGCTGCAGTTTCATAGATTCATAGACTCTATCTAGGAGGGACTCCGGGGGTCATCGCGTCCAGCCCACTTGCAATGCAGGAATCTGCAGCTATTCAGTTATAGAGTGAGGTGGCCTTTGAGCAAGGGATTTAAAATATATAAACTAACCTGGAGCCTTCCAGGTGGTGTGGACTACAGTTCCCATCAGCTTTCTTGGGAGCTGTAGTCCAAATCAACTGGATATCAATAATAACATAATAATAATTTATTATTTATACCTCACCCATCTGGCTGGGTTTTCCCAGCCGCTCTGGGCAGCTCCCAGCAGAATACAGTGGTACCTCAGGTTACATACGCTTCAGGTTACAGACTCCGCTAACCAAGAAATAGTGCTTCAGGTTAAGAACTTTGCTTCAGGATGAGAACAGAAATCGTGCAGTGGCGGCGCGGCGGCAGCAGGAGCCCCATTAGCTAAAGTGGTGCTTCAGGTCAAGAACAGTTTCAGGTTAAAGAACGGACCTCCGGAACGGATTAAGTACTTAACCCGAGGTACCACTGTATTATAAAAACATGATAAAACATCAAACGTTAAAAACTTCCCTAAACATGGGTGGCTCCAGAGATTGACTGGTATGATAGGATCATTTTTATCCTGCCTTTTGCCGGCTCGCAGTTGTAAGAGCGTAAGAGACCTGCGGGTACAGGGCGGTATACAAAATTTAATAATAATAATAATAATAATAATAATAGCAGCATTCTGGATCGGGCCAGTGGCCCACCTAGTCCAGGGTCGTTTCCAGTGGGAAAGCCGTGAGCGGGACTCACAGCAAACAATAAAAGAATAAATTGGTCCCGAGGACCCAGTGAACCCCAATAAGTGATGCCAGGAAGGGGGCAGTGCCAGAGCCAGGACAGGGTTTCCTGCCCCATAGCTGGAGCCCCCTCGCTTCCTCTGCCGCCCTGACTCTTTTTCCGCTCGGTGTCTCTCCCAGCTGGTCCTCTTCGTCGGGAAACTGAACACCATCGCCAGCATCGTCACCGTCTTCTACCTCGTGGCCTATGCCGCCGTGGACCTGGCCTGCTTGGCGCTGGAGTGGGCCTCCGCCCCCAATTTCCGGTGGGTGTGGTGTCCCGGGAGGGGTGGAGCCAGGCCGCTTTGGGGAGAGGGGAGGGGCAAGGCAGCAAGTCGTCCTTTCTGACTGTTACGCTGCTCTGAACCCGCAGTCGGAACCTGAGTTGGGGGTCCTGCTTCTGCCGGAGGGACGCACTACATTTGGGGGGGGAGGGATATTCCGGTGGTGGGAGGGGCCAGAGGGCAGGGCAATGGGTGTGCATTTTGACATTTGTAACAGACACGCTTGCGCACTTTTCCCAGTTCAGGCAAGCAAGAGGCGTCATTGCAGCTCAAGGCCAGGTGTGCAAAGTAGGAATAGAGAGGGGTGTGGCCTGGATGTTGAGGGTGTGGCTGAGAAAGGGGTGTGGCCTTGTCTGAAAGGGGTGTGGTTGAGGGAGGGGTGTGGCCTAGGTAGAGGGGGTGTGGCCTGGATGTTGAGGGTGTGGCTGAGAAAGGGGTGTGGCCTTGTCTGAAAGGGGTGTGGTTGAGGGAGGGGTGTGGCCTAGGTAGAGGGGGTGTGGCCTGGATGTTGAGGGTGTGGCTGAGAAAGGGGTGTGGCATTGTCTGAAAGGGGTGTGGTTGAGGGAGGGGTGTGGCCTAGGTAGAGGGGGTGTGGCCTGGATGTTGAGAGTGTGGCCGAGGAAGGGGCGTGGCCTGGGTGGAGAAGATGTGGCTGGGAAAGGGGTGTGGCCTTGTCCGAAAGGGGTGTGGTTGAGGGAGGGGTGTGGCCTAGGTAGAGGGGGTGTGGCCTGGATGTTGAGGGTGTGGCTGAGAAAGGGGTGTGGCCTTGTCTGAAAGGGGTGTGGTTGAGGGAGGGGTGTGGCCTAGGTAGAGGGGGTGTGGCCTGGATGTTGAGGGTGTGGCTGAGAAAGGGGTGTGGCCTTGTCTGAAAGGGGTGTGGTTGAGGGAGGGGTGTGGCCTAGGTAGAGGGGGTGTGGCCTGGATGTTGAGAGTGTGGCCGAGGAAGGGGCGTGGCCTGGGTGGAGAAGATGTGGCTGGGAAAGGGGTGTGGCCTTGTCCGAAAGGGGTGTGGTTGAGGGAGGGGCATGGCCAAAGCAGAAAGGGGTGTGGCCAGGATGTTGAGGGTGTGGCTGAGGAAGGGGCATGGCCTAGGTGAAGAATATGTGACTGAAAAGAGGTGTGGCTGAGAAAGGGGTGTGGCCTTGTCTGAAAGGGGTGTGGCTGAGGGAGAGGTGTGGCCTAGGTAGAGGGGGTGTGGCCTGGATGTTGAGGGTGTGGCCGAGGAAGGGGCGTGGCCTGGGTGGAGAAGATGTGACTGAGAAAGGGGTGTGGTCTTGTCTGAAAGGGGTGTGGTTGAGGGAGGGGCGTGGCCAGAGCAGAAAGGGGTGTGGCCGGAATGTTGAGGGTGTGGCCGAGGAAGGGGCGTGGCCTGGATGGAGAAGATGTGACTGAGAAAGGGGTGTGGCCTTGTCTGAAAGGGGTGTGGTTGAGGGAGGGGCGTGGCCAAAGCAGAAAGGGGTGTGGCCAGGATGTTGAGAGTGTGGCTGAGGAAGGGGTGTGGCCTAGGTGGAGAATATGTGACTGAAAAGAGGTGTGACTGAGAAAGGGGTGTGGCCTTGTCTGGAAGGGGTGTGTTTGAGGGAGAGGAGTGGCCTAGGTGGAGAGGGGTGTGGCTAAGGGATGGGTGTGGCCAGTGCAGAGAGGGCATGGCCGAGGAGGGGGCGTGGCTAGGGTAAAGAGGATATATCACTGAGGGCCAGATGGGGAGGTGTGGGGGGCCACATTTGAGGGTCCCCACGCTCGGTGTCAGACTCTGTACTGAGCGCACCCCCTGTCTGCCTCCCCGCTCTTTTTCTTCCCCCCTCCCCCAGCCCCACCTTCCAGGTGTTTTCGTGGCACACCTGCCTCCTGGGCATCGTCTCCTGCCTGGTGATGATGTTCCTGATCAGTGCGGCCGGCGCCTCTGGCAGCCTGGGGCTCATGCTGCTGCTCCTGGGCTTCATCCACCTGCGCTCCGCCGCTTCCTCCTGGGGCTACATCAGCCAGGCCCTCATCTTCCACCAGGTACCCTCCTTACACCTGCGGACAGTCTAAACTCCCAGCACACGTTGCTGCCTCTAGCCCATAATCGTTGCAGAGATTTTGCTCTGTCACCTGTTACCTGGCTCAAGTTTACTCGTTTTTAAGACTTGAGATGCCATCATGGACCTTCTGTATGCGGAGCAACTGCTCTGCCCAATAGCCAGTGGTGGTGTTGCATAGTGGTTAGTTTCAGACTACGATCTGGGAGAGATGAGGGTTCAAATTCCGCCGGGAAGCTCACTGGGCGTGACCTGGGAGGCCAGAGACTCAGCCTAGCCCACCTCACAGGGTTGGTGTGAGGAGGAAATTGGGGTGTGTGGGGAACTTAGCATGCCATCTTGAGCTCCTTGGAGATAGAAATGGAATAAATAAAAATAAATGCAATAAAAATAAATTAATTCGGGGGCAGAGGGAGCTGCCTTGCACTGAGTCAGAACACAGGCCCACCTCCTTCAGTGCTGTCTGCACAGACTGGCAGCAGCGGCTCTGTGGGTCTCGGACATGGGCCCTTCCTGATCCTCACTTGGAGATGCTGGGGGTTGAACCTGAGACCTTCTGGAGGGAGCAGTGGCAAGTGGCCACATTCACCCGGTGCACCTAAAACACTAAGGCACCGATTTAAACTGTCATGGCTTCCCCCAAAGGATTCTGGGAGCTGTGGCTTGTTCTCAGAGAACACTATGGTGCCCCTTTGAACAGTCATGGCTTTCCCCCAAAGGATTCTGGGAGCTGGGGCTTGTTATGGGTGCTGAGATTTCTGAGGAAACCCCTATTCCCCTCACAGAAAGCACTATATAGTGCTGTTTTTCTAGAAAAGAAAGAGGCGCTGGAACTCGCCAAGAACACCTCCCTTGTTCTCTCAAGGATGGCAATGGCGCCTACATGAGAGGTGCCAGAACTGATTTCCGGCAAGTTCCGTGTGAAAAAGAAGCCCTGGATACATCTATGCAGTCATGGCTTCCCCCAAAGGATTCTGGGAGCTGTGGCTTGTTCAGAGCATAGCTGTCAACTTTTCCCTTTTCTTGCGAGGAATCCCATTCAGTATAAGGGAATTTCCCTTAAAAAAGCGAAACGTTGACAGCTATGGTTCAGAGTGCTGAGATTTCTGTGGAGACCCCTTTATTCCCCTCACAGAGAACACTATGGTGCCCCTTTGAACAGTCATGGCTTCCCCCAAAGGATTCTGGGAGCTGTGGCTTTTTACAGGCACTGAGATTTCTGAGGAGACCCCTATTCCCCTCACAGAGAGCACTATGATGCCTGTTTGAACAGTCATGGCTTCTTCTGAAGGAAGAGACCCCTAGTCCCATCACAGAGCTCACTGTGATACCACTTTCAATGGTCATGGCGTCCCACAAAGTATTCTGGGAGCTGTACTTTGTTAAAGATGCTGAACGTTGTGAGGAGACCCGCTATTCCCCTCACAAAAGCGTACTACAGTATACCACTTTAAACAGTCATGGCTTCCCCCCAAAGGATTCTGGGAGCTGAAGTTTGTGAAGGGAGCCGAGAGTTGTGAGGAGACCCCCTTCTTCCCCTCACAGAGCACACTATCATACTAGTTTGAACAGTCATGGCTTCCCCCAAAGGATTCTGGGAGCTGTGGCTTGTTACGGGTACTGAGATTTCTGAGGAGACCCCTTTATTCCCCTCACACAAAGCACTATATAGTGCTGTTTTTCTAGTAAAAAAGAGGCGCTGGAACTCGCCAAGAACACCTCCCTTGTTCTCTCAAGGATGGCAATGGCGCCTACATGAGAGGGGCCAGAACTGATTTCTGGCAAGTTCCGTGTGAAAAAGAAGCCCTGGATATATCTATGCAGTCATGGCTTCCCTCAAAGGATTCTGGGAGCTGTGTATTGTTCACAGTGCTGAGATTTCTGAGGAGATCCCTATTCCCCTCACAGAGAGCACTATGGTGCCCCTTTGAACAGTCATGGCATCCCCCAAAGGATTCTGGGAGCTGTACTTTGTTAAAGATGCTGAACGTTGTGAGGAGACCCGCTATTTCCCTCACAAAAGCGTACTACAGTATACCACTTTAGACAGTCATGGCTTCCCCCAAAGGATTCTGGGAGCTGTAGCTTGTGAAGGGAGCCGAGAGTTGTGAGGAGACCACCTTCTTCCCCTCACAGAGCACACTATCATACTAGTTTGAACAGTCATGGCTTCCCCCAAAGGATTCTGGGAGCTGTGGCTTGTTCAGAGCATAGCTGTCAACTTTTCCCTTTTCTTGCAAGGAATCCTATTCGGAATAAGGGAATTTCCCTTAAAAAAAAAGTGAAACGTTGACAGCTATGGTTCAGAGTGCTGAGATTTCTGAGGAGAGACCCCTTTATTCCCCTCACAGAAAGCACTATGGTGCCCCTTTGAACAACCATGGCTTCCCCCAAAGGATTCTGGGAGCTGAAGTTTGTGAACGGAGCCGAGAGTTGAGACCCCCTATTATTCCCCTCACAGAACTACAATTCTCTGGGGGAGACAGATTGGTGGTTAAACTGCTCTGCTGGGAGTTTCGGCTGGGGAGGGCGGGATATAAATAAAATATTATTATTATTTATTATTATGAGGGAGCTGTCCTCGACGGCTACCCCTCCACCTTCTCACTTTCCCCCTTTTCCACCGAAACAGGTCCGGAAGTATCTGCTCCTCCTCGACATACGGAAGGACCACGTCAAATTCTGGCGGCCCCAAATCCTCCTTATGGTGGCCAACCCCCGGGGCAGCTCCCAGCTCATGAAGTTTATCAACCACCTCAAGAAAGGGGGCCTCTTTGTCCTGGGGCACGTGGAGATTGGGGACCTTGGTAAGAGGGACATCCGGGGCGGAGGCGGAGGAGAAGGGGCAGACGTCCAGACCGCTTCCCAAACCAACGGCAAGGAAAAGCTGGTCCTACGCTCGCTCAGCGCTGCGGTTCTGTGAATCCGGGCCCCAGTTGCCCTACAGGCAGAGAGCCTCAGTGAAGGACGTGTGACACGCTAGGCATTGTAGAATTATTATAATAATAATATTAAAAAATACAATGAAACATCAGACATTAAAAAATTCCCTAAACAGGGCTGCCTTCAGATGTCTTCTAAAAGTCAGGTAGCTGTTTATTTCCTTGAAATCTGATGAGAAGGCGGGTGCCACCACCGAGAAGGCCCTCTGCCTGGTTCCCTGCAACCTCGCTTCTCTCAGGGAGGGAACCGCCAGAAGGCCCTCGGAGGTGGACCTCAGTGTCCAGGCTGAACGATGGGGGTGGAGATGCTCCTTCAGGTCTACTGGGCCTTTGAGGCCGTTTAGGGCTTTCAAGGTCAGCACCAACACTTTGAATTGTGCTTGGAAACGTCCTGGGAGCCAATGTAGGTCTTTCAGGACCGGTGTTATGTGGTCTCGGCTGCCGCTCCCAGTCCCCAGTCTGGCGGCCGCATTCTGGATTAGTTGCAGTTTCCGGGTCACCTTCAAAGGTAGCCCCACATAGAGCGCATGGCAGTAGTCCAAGCGGGAGATAACCAGAGCATGCACCACTCTGGCCAGACAGTCTGCGGGCAGGGAGGGTCTCATCCTGCGTACCAGATGGAGCTGGTAGACAGCTGCCCTGGACACAGAGTTGACCTGTGCCTCCATGGACAGCGGTGAGTCCAAAACGACTCCCAGGCTGTGCACCTGGTCCTTCAGAGGCCTTGCTGCCTCTAACTGGCTCCATTCTCTTCTCTTCTGTCCCCCTCCTGTTGGTAAATGCCTGCCTTTTGTGGTTTTCCCTCTGCAGACACGATGCCCTCCGACCCCATCCAAGCCCACTACAATTTCTGGCTGAGCCTGGTGGACAAGCTAAGCATCAAGGCATTCGTGGACCTCACCCTCTCGCCTTCGGTCCGCCAAGGGACACAGCACCTCCTCCGGATCACCGGCTTGGGTGAGGAAGGGAGGGGCAGCAGAGAGAGAGAGAAGCCCCAAGATGAGCTGGGTCTCTAGTCCACTCACCTGCAGAACCACATAATAATAATAATAATAATAATATCCCACCCATCTGGCTGGGTTTCCCCAAACACTCTGGGCGGCTTCCCAACAGAACACTAAAATCAGAATAAAACATCAAACATTAAAAACTTCCCTAAACATGGCTGCCTTCAGATGTCTTCTAAAAGTCAGGTAGCTTTTTATTTCCTGGACATCTGATGAGAGGGCGGGTGCCACCACTGAGAAGGCCCTCTGCCTGGTTCCCTGCAACCTCGCTTCTCACAGGGAGGAAACCGCCAGAAGGCCCTCGGAGCTGGACCTCAGTGTCTGGGCTGGATGATGGGGGTGGAGACACTCCTTCAGGAATACTGAATAATTAAGAATAATTAAATAATTAAATACAATATACTCCCACAGAGACTACCTTACATTGCGTTTAAAACCAAAATCGCCTTTGGGTAGAAACTGTTTCTCAGGCAGCTAGTCCTAGTCTTAATAACCCTGGACCTTCTTCCAGAAGGCAGAAGCTGAAAGAGATCATTTCCGGGGTGCGCACTATCCTGCGCTATCTCTGCAGCTTTCTTAAGGCACCTGGAAGCATAGATTTGATCCAGGGTGGGAAGAGCGCACCCAATTATTCTCTCCTCAGTCTTTACAACCCTGGACAGCATTGGCTTTTCCCCTGACCGTGCCGCTCCCAAACCACACACACAGACCATAAGTTAATACACTCTCCACAGTACAGTGGTAAAATGCCACCAACAGGTCCTTTGAGAGATTGTTTTTCCGGTGGATTCTCAGAAAATATAACCTCTGCTCTGCTCCATCTTTCCCCCTCCATCTTTGAACCTGGCGAGGTGTCTTGTCTCCCAAGCCCACCAAACTGACCTCAACTTTGCTTGCGTGTGTGTGCCTTTTCCTTCGCAGGAGGGATGAAACCCAACACTTTGGTCCTCGGCTTCTACGACGACTGCGTCCCGGAGGATTACTTCCTGCAAGACCCGGCCTTCAGCCAAGCGCGGGAGAACGACGAGTTCGGCGTGGACCTGCCGGCCCTCCAGGCCCACTTCCCACCGGTGAGGGAGGCGGAGAGCCAGCGGGCCTTGAGACCCTCCGAGTACGTGGCCATCATCTCCGACGCGGTGAAGATGCACAAGAACGTCTGCCTGGCGCGCTACTTCCACCTGCTGGAGAAGGACCTGCCGCCCTCGTCTTCGTCAACCTCTTCCAAGCGCCGCTTCGAGGGCCGCTACATCGACGTGTGGCCCCTCAACCTCCTGCGCCCCAACTCGCCCACCTACGTGGACATCTGCAGCCTCTTCCTCCTGCAGATGGCCTGCATCCTCACCATGGTCAGCTCCTGGAAGGCCGCGAGGCTCCGCATCTTCCTCTGCGTGGAGTCGGGAGACGTGGGCTGGGTCGGCAAGGAGGAGAAGCTGAGGGAGCTCTTGACCAAGCTGAGGATCAAGGCCACCATCAAGATCGTCACGTGGGACCAGGTGGTGGCCCTCCACGGCCACCCCCAGCATGCCGCGGGGCCCCGGGGGACCCCGAGAGGCCGGACCTTCCCTCCGGGGCCGAGAAACCGGCGAGAGAGACCTACCTGAACGCCGCCACCTTCCAGGTGACCGACGAGTATTTGGCCTCCGTCAACGACCTGCTCTTGAAGCAAGGGGGGCAGACGGCCGTGCGCTTCCTCTACCTCCCGCGCCCCCCGGCCGACACCTCGCAGTACGAGCGCTACCTGGAGCAGCTGGCGATCCTGACCACAGATCTGGGGCCCACTATGCTCATCCATGGCCTGACGCCCGTCACCTGTACGGAGCTCTGAGGAGGACCTGGGGTTTGGCAGGGGCAGAGGGGTGGAAATTCTAGGTGGTTTTGTTTCTGTTTCTGTTTTTTTTACAAAAGAAATAAGGTGCCTTGTCTCTCGAGAGTGAAGTGAGTGGTGAGAAAATTTGCCCTGGTGGTTTTGGAGAGGTGCCTTTGGGAAGGGGCAGAGAGGACCTTGCAAGTCCCGGGTAGATTTTGGGAGTCTTGAGTGAAGGCCCAGCAAGCTTGAAGGGGGCGAAGAGAGAGGTTGGGCAGGGGCTGCTTCTTTTTATGTTTTTAAGGAGAAGAGCTCCCCTGCACAGACACACACGGTTCGGGAATGCCTTCATAGCCGCAACATGTAGCAGAGGCCTTGGACCATCAGAATCTGGTAGACAGGGCAGTTCTTGCACGTATATATTTCCCTTGCAACCTGTCCTTTGCAAACTGCTCCATCAGGATTCATATGAGACGCACAGACTGGTTTGCCATGGATTCTTCTCCCACACAGACACCTCCTCAGGGAAAACAGGAAAACGAAGGCAGTCCCCAACACTAGCAATAGGGTGGCCTTTTTGCTGCTAGGCTCTAAGATTTGCTCCTTCAGGCAACGCCCCTGCAGCCTTACTCCTGAAATTAGAAACGGTGGATTGGGCCCCCAGTCCACTTGTTCAGCGCATGCTACCTTGACTCTAGGGCCACATTCACACCAATTAAACCACGGTGATATCACTTTAAACAGGTATGGCTTCCCCGGAAGAATCCTGGAATCTGCGGTTTGTTGGGAAACCCCCTATTACACACACACACACACACACACACACACGAACTTCAGTTTTAACAATCGGCCCCTCTTCCCAGGGAACTCTGGGAGTTGTAGCCCTGGGAGAGGGAGATCAACAGCTCTCAGCACCCTTAAAAAAAACCCTACAGCTCCCAGAGTTCTTTGGGGGAACCCATGACTGTTTAAAGTGGTTTTTTTAGTGCTTTTAGCTGCCCGGTGCGAGTGTGGCCCGAGACCCGAACACAGAAGTTACTTGACACTTTTCCGACTTCCACAAGGCATCGTTTGAATGTGTGGGTGTGTATGTGTGTTAAGGGGTCTCTCTAGGACACTGGATCAGCCCCGCGACCCAGACTACTGGCAGGGTGGTCCCCTGCCATCGTTTTAGAGGCCATGTCCCTTTCAGGACGAAGGTGAAACTTCTTCCTTACACATGAATCTAGACCCTGAGGATACTTCCCTCATTCCACTCCCTTTTGATAGCTGCCATATTGCTTTGTTTGCCCTCCCCGTTTTAAAAGTCATTCCTCACCTTCCCCCAACCTGGCGCGCCCCCCCCCCGAATATTTTGTAGTATATCTCCAGCCAGGAACTGTAATCCAAAACTTCTGGAGGATGCTGTAAGTTAGAAAAGGCTTTCGACTGTGTTGAGTGGAAGGTGAGCTTCGTTCATTACATTCCCCAGACAGGGGGGTCCGTCTCCCCCATCCCTGCCATTAACCCAGCTAACCATAGAGAACAGGCTATTTTTAAAGCAAGTTGTTCCTAAATCAGGACTCCCCAAATATTTCCTAACACCCTCGTTGCCCCAAAGGTGCTTCTACTAATTGTTTACTGGCCGACTTAAATGTTTTATTTTTTTGTGCCTCTTTAGCTGGACAGCCACTGGGGTGGGGGTGTTTGTGGTCCCCCTTTTGGGGGCTAAATATGTGCTTTTGGGTACTAACACTAACAGGGCTTGAGGGGGGAGAGGAGAAGTGGGGTGATTTCTACTTTTTAGTGACCGCTGCAATAAAAGTGAAAGTGCAAGAACAGATGGCGCGTTGTTGTGTGTGGGGTTTTTTGGGGGGTGAGGTCTTTGGGGACGCCTCTTCTCCAAAGTGGGTCTGAACCGGGGGTGATGGACCAGGAGCAAGACTTCGGGGTCACAACAGACGGTTTGATGATGTCAACCCAGAGTGTGGCAGCTGTGAAAAATGCAAATTCCATGCTAGGGGTTGCTAGGAAGAAAGGGAGTGAAAATAAATCTGCTGATACCATAGTGCCATTATAGAAACCTGGTGTGTGGCCGCATTTGGAGTCCTGTGTGCACTTCTGGTCGTCTCACCTCAAAAAGGATATTGTAGGGTTGGGAAAAGTTTGGCAAAGGACCACCAGAATTGAAATATACTCTGGGAGCTTTGGCTTCTTAAGGGTGCCAAGGACTGTGTGGAGGCGCCCACCCCCCACATTTCCACCCCAGGGCTACAATTCCCAGAGTGGTTTAATAGCCAATCCCTCTTCCCAGGTGAAATACCGTACTTGGAGTCGAGAGTGGATTTCATGCTCTTTATTCAGCTCATAGTGGTGAGGAGGAATGGAAGTTCCCCCACAACATCTGCTTTATATACAGTATTTACACAATGGGCCCCATGTGATTGGCTAATTCCGGGATTCTCCTGTAGGCCAATCTGGTTGCAGATTCACTTCCACCTGGAAGTTGGGTGGCTCCTGTGGACCAATCAGACTGCTGCATTCTGAATCCTATTCTAGGACCAATCAGACGGCTGCATTCTGGATCCTATTCAACTCAGTACATAACAAAAATGATCAAAAGGCTGGAGCAGCTCCCCTATGAAGAGAGATTGCAGTGTTTTGGCTTTTCGGTTTAGAGAAAAGTCGAGGAAGAGGTGGCATTATAGAAATTTATGAAATAATGCATGACACGGAGAAAGAGGGCAGAGAAACGTTTTCCACCCTCTGCTCCTTTTCACTCCTTTTTTTCACTTCCATGCCAACCGGCATTATAAAAATAGCATGGATCAAACCTGACCCCGTCCCTTCTCAAACAGTATTTCAGGATACCTATTATCACGGAGTCGTAGAGTTGGAAGGGACCCCCAGCGGTCATCTAGTCCAACCCCCGATAGTTTTCTTCAAAGTGCAATATATTATACAAACAGGATAGAGAATCTTATATTTAACGTGTAAGCAAATGACTCCATTAATTAGCTCTACGCTGCATTTTTCCCCTTAATTTATTTGAGATGGACTAATCTTTATTATTATTATTATTTTTAAATATTTTTTATTAAGGATTTTCTTGTTTTACAGATGGACTACTCTTTATAATACAAGGATAAGGGATTTGCAGGGCAGAATTATTATTTTTTAAGTCGTGTTTTCCACATGAAATAAATCAAGAGTTGAATTAGAGATATGAGGACTTCTCTTTTAGGTGCCACCTTTTCTGTTGTTGTTGTTTGAATATAAAGTCTCGGATATAATAAAATCTTGGGTTTCTCCGTTGCTTCTCTAAAGACAACTAGGAAGCCAATGGGTTCCCGCCTTTGACACTTGAATGTCGCCTCTACAATTTTCCTATCTCGTGAATGCAACGCACATGGGCGTTTGATCATGGAGATGCCAACGCCTAGAGCGGCACCTACCCACCCAGAGCAACCGGGCCAATGGCAGCTTACCGCTTACCCCCAATGGCCAATTACGTGTTGGCTTCGGGATTTTAAGCTTTTCTATAGGTATTAAAATTTAAATATTATTTCCACCGCGCCCTTTCCTTTGGGGGAGTTAGCCGGAAGTTTATACTTACCTCACTTCCGCCATATTACTGCGGAAGAGCGGCCGGAATTTCCCCTTCGCCTTACCTAAGATGGCCGCCACGCCTTCGAAGTCGGGCAGCAGATTTCCGGAAGCGGATGTTCCGTTGCGTCGTCACCCTTTGCCCGCTTCCCGGCCTTCATCATAGAGTGCATCAATTCCCCTTCTGTTGGGCTTTATAAATACGGGAAGAGGGAGGGGCCGCTCTAGGAGTCGGATAGAAAGGATTTGCCGCCCTCGTCTCTATGGTGATGGAGGACTAGACCTGTCTAGAGACCAAGGAAAGCTGGATTTTCTGGAGGGTGAGTCTAATAATAATAATAATAATAAATTTTATTTATACCCCGCCCTCCCCAGCCAAATTGATTGAAATACAACTTAAAAACAAGACTAAAATACAACATTAAAACATTAAAATATTACAATACAGCCTCATTTCAATAGAATAGAATAGAATAGAATAGATTCTTTATTGTCATTACACAAGTGCAACATTGCACAAAGTGCAACGAAATTGGATGCCATCCCTTAAAACAGCAAAAGCAAAACAACAACAACAACCAAACAAACCACCTTCCAACCACACCCACACCCATCAAACTCCCAGGTCACACTATCGAGTTACAGCATTCAAAAAGGCCACAGCTCTTGGATAGAAACTGTTTTTCAGTCTATTTGTCTTTGACTTGATGTTTCTATATCTCCTGCCAGAAGGCAGTAGTGCAAACAGACTGTGTCCCGGGTGAGATGAATCCTGCAGGATGTTATTTGCTTTCCTAAGACAACGGGAACCGTACAGTTCTTCCAAAGATGGGAGAGGATGACCAATAATCCTTTGGGCTGTGGTTATGACCTTCTGGAGCACCTTCCTCTCCCTAGCTGTACAACTGGAGAACCAAGTACAAATACAGTATGTAAGAATGCTCTCTATGGAGCCTCGGTAGAAGGACACCAGCAGTCTCTCACTCAGATTGTTCTTCTTTAAAAGTCTGAGGAAATAAATTCTCTGCTGGGCCTTCTTCACCAGAGCAGTGGTATGTGCGCTCCAAGTCATGCCCTGATCGATAGTTACTCCCAAAAACCTGAATTCCGCCACCCTCTCCACCCGTTCCCCGTTGATATACAAGGGCTGAATGTCCGCCTTTTTTTTCCTGTAATCCACCACCAATTCCTTGGTCTTAGCCGTATTAAGAGCCAGATTGTTCTCTCCACACCAAACACAGAGCCGCTCCACCTCGTCCCGATAGGCGGACTCATCCCCTCCTGAAATGAGCCCTACCACCGTAGTGTCATCAGCAAACTTGATGATTTTGTTGCTGGAGTAGATGGCTGTACAGTCATACGTATAGAGAGCATAGAGCAGGGGACTCAACACACAACCCTGTGGTGAGCCGGTGTTAAGGCTAAGGGCTGTGGACATATGTGACCCTACTCTAACCCTCTGAGAACGTTCCGACAAAAAATCCAAAACCCAGAGACAGGTGGAGTTGGAGAGTCCAATCGCCTCAATGGAAATTCAAATCAAAAACTTTTTTGGTGGATGAAACCGTCAAGTCTTTATTATATAATAATAATTTATTTATACCCTGCTCATAAACGAGGGAGGGGTGGGAGGTTTGCTGCAGCCTATACCTGGGGAGAGGGATCCACTGAAGGTGACATTTGGTCGAGGGACAGAATTACTCTCCCTTCAAAAAAACCAGCAATGGACAGCCCTATAAACCATTCCAGAGTTGCAACGGGATCCCTGGGGGTCATCTGTTCCAACCCCCTGCAATGCAGGAGAAAATGTGCAATGCTGGAATCAAAATTGCATGGAGTGCGAAGGTGCCATTCTGGTTTGCAAGAACCCTGGTCAGACAAGGGAGAGATTTCCGCTTGACCTTACGCCAAGGAGCTGGTTAGCTCTTTTTCAATATTATTGAGTTTGAGCACAAACATATTTGAACACATATTATAATTGGTTTGTTCATGGAAAGAGTCCTTTATTTATTTTATTATTATTATTAATAATAATAATAATAATAATAATAATAATAATAATAAATTTTATTTATACCCCGCCCTCCTCAGCCAAGACCGGGCTCAGGGTGGCTAACAACCAATAATAAAAACAAGCTGATTAAAATACAACTTAAAAAACAAGAGTAAAATACAACATTAAAACATTATTAGACTGATAGTCCACCTTTTCCCCCAAGGTGCCTCCTCACTGAATTCCCGCAACAACCTTGTGAGGTAGGCGGGGAGAATGATGGAGTCATAGAGCTGGAAGAGACCCTGAGGTTCATTTAGCGCAACCCCCTGCAGTGCAGGAATACGCGTAGCTGCCCCTTACGGGGATCGAACCTGCAGCCTTGGCACTGCCAGCACCACGGTCTAACCAACCAAAAATAATTACAATGAATAATGATTCCTTCTCTCTTTGTCCCCCGCAGGCCTGCCTCTCCTCTCTCCTGCAGAGGATGCCCTTACTCTCCGACGTCCACCTGGAGCTGCCTCTCCCGGACCCTCCTCCTCACCGCCTGGCCCTCGTCTCCGGCTCCTACCGCTACTACCACTACGGCTGTGACGGTGTGGACGACCGTGGTTGGGGCTGCGGGTACCGCACCCTCCAGACCGTGTGTTCTTGGCTGCCGCCGAGTGTCGAAAAAACCCTTCCCCGCCCAGTCCCTTCCCTGCAGGAGATCCAAAACGCTCTGGTGGAGATAGGAGACAAGCCCGCCTCCTTTGCCGGCTCCCGGGACTGGATGGGCACCGTAGAAGCGGCCTTGTGCCTGGACCACTTTTACAGCGTGCCGGGCAAGGTGGTCCACGTTCCCCACGGGCGGGAGCTGGAGAGGGAGCTGGAGGCTCTGCATGCTCATTTCCAGGGAGGCGGGGGGCCCGTCATGATGGGGGGCGACAGGGACAACTCTTCCAAGGGGCTGCTGGGGGTCTGCTCCGGCCCGGAAGGGCGCCACCACCTCCTGGTCCTTGACCCTCACTACTATGGCCAGGCAGGGTCTCTGACGAGGGAGGAGCTGCAGGCACAACGTTGGGTCCATTGGAGGGAGCTTGCTCTCTTCGAAGCAGGCTCCTTCTACAACCTCTGCTTCCCCCAGTTCAGGGCAAAAGGATGTCCTGTATGATTTGAGAAAGTAGGTGTCGTTCTCCAAACCGAGAGCTGCAGGGGTGTCTCTGTCAGGAGCGTCAGCAATGTCTAGGCAACACGATGACCATGTGTTGTTGTTTAGTCGTGTCCGCCTCTTTGTGACCCCCTGGACCAGAGCACGCCAGGCCCTCCTGTCTTCCACTGCCTCCCGCAGTTTGGTCAAACTCATGCTGGTCCCTTCGAGAACACTGTCCCACCATCTCGTCCTCCGTCGTCCCCTTCTCCTTCTGCCCTCCATCTTTCCCAACATCAGGGTCTTTTCCAGAGAGTCTTCTCTCCTCATGAAATCTTTAGCCTCAGAGTCTCTGAAAATCTTTAAATGAAGCGAGGTACCAGACTTTGTGACAGACAAGCTGTGAAGCTTTGTGTATTCAGCAAATATGATGTGTAACACTAAACAGTGATTCCGGATACAGACCACTGTTTCGTAGAATTCTTGTCAGCGTGGTGGGAGGATATAGAATTCCTTCATAAACCCATCTTCTTTTGAATGAATGTATGTAAACGAAAATGTCAAATGCTGTGGAACAGTGCTCATGTAATAATGTAGTCACTACACCACGCTGACGAAGATTAAAGATTTCATTTTGGACTTGTTATGGTTTGAAGGTATTCTATAAAAGATTTCTTGCATATGTACATGGTCATCATGTTGCCTAGACATTGCTGACGTTCTCTTTGCAACACAGGGGTTCGTTCGGTTACTTACTCGTGTCAGGAGCTGGCTGGGAGCCATTTGCTCATAGTAGCTTGGGAGAGAGCCGAAAGCGAGTCACACGCCTGGCACTGATCAGTTATCGTAAGTGTGGAAGACGGGAGGACGCAGTGGAACCATGAATCCGTGGGGAGTGGCTGCAGTGCCCACGTCCAAATCCCTGACAAGCTCTTAGTCTCAAGGACCGGCCTTCCATGGAAAATCAAGCTCTGGGTGGGTATTAGGATGGCTCTAATCCAGCTCCACAGTCGGAGGCAGCAATGAGAGAGTGGCTCTTCTGCTCGGATTCTCCTTGCGGGTCTCCCACTTGGGAACCTGGCTGGTCACTGTGAGTACCAGGTAGCTTGGCAAGATGGACCCCTGGCCTGGTCAAACAGGCTTGTCTGGGGCAACTGTGCCCCCGAAGGACCAGGTGCGCAGCCTGGGAGTCATTTTGGACTCACCACTGTCCATGGAGGCGCAGGTCAATTCTGTGTCCAGGGCAGCTGTCTACCAGCTCCATCTGGTACACAGGATGAGACCCTCCCTGCCCGCAGACTGTCTGGCCAGAGTGGTGCATGCTCTGGTTATCTCCCGCTTGGACTACTGCCATGCACTCTACGTGGGGCTACCTTTGAAGGTGACCCGGAAACTACAACTAACCCAGAATGCGGCAGCTAGACTGGGGACTGGGGGCGGCTGCCAAGACTATATAACACCGGTCCTGAAAGACTTACATTGGCTCCCAGTACATTTCTGAGCACAATTCAAAGTGTTGGTGCTGACCTTTAAAGCCCTAAATGGCCTCAAAGGCCCAGTAGACCTGAAGGAGCATCTCCACCTCCATCATTCAGCCTGGACACGGAAGTCCAGCTCTGAGGGCCTTCTGACGGTTCCCTCGTTGCAAGAAGTGAGGTTACACGGAACCCGGTGGTGGTGGCGCCCGCCCTCCCATCAGATGTCAAGGAAATAAACAACTATCTGACCTTTAGAAGACATCTGAAGTCAACCCCGTTTAGGGAAGTTTTTAATGTCTGATGTTTTATTGCGTTTTTAATATCCTGTTGGAAGCCACCCAGAGTCTCCTGGAAAACCCAGTCAGATGGGCGCAGTAGAAATAAATTATTTTTATTTTATGACGGTGGTGATGTTTGGATAGCACACCCAACGTGGAGCTTGCCAGGACTACGTCTCCCATCAGCCTCAGGCAGCGCCCTGGGATGCCCTCCAGATGCTTTTGACCCTAGCTGCCTTTGTTCCTTCCAAGCAGAGTTGAGGATGCACTAATAAAGTATTATATCCCATGGCCTCCTTCCATAATGGTCAATGCAATTCACATACATCCCTTGCGGGTGAAGTAGGTTTTGAGTCACCAGCTGCTGCCTGGGTTTGCCTCCGCTCATTCCTACTTGGTGGTTGAGACCAGGGTCAGCGCCCGGCACAGGGAGAGGAGGAAGGGTGGCACGCTGGCAAACTTGCCCAGGGCAGAGAGGGCAGGCAGGTGAGAAAGAAGACCGGATCCAACTGAGTCTCACTCACATGATGTGCCTGTTTGATCTCTCCTGTTCCCACGTTTCCTTGAACTCTATATGTCCCATAAATCTCAATAAATATTTACCGTATTTTTCGCTCCATAAGACGCACTTCTTTTTTCTTCCTAAAAAGTAAGGGGAAATGTCTGTGCGTCTTATGGAGCAAATGCGTGGTCCCCGGAGCCGAATTGCCCAGGGGAGAAAAGCAGATCATGCTTCTTTTTTTGAAAGAGGGAAGTGGGTGTTGAAATAAAGCCGCTGATCATTTGCCGATCGGGAGAGAGATAAGGGACGCTAGAGATAAAGGAGGCTGCCTGGGAGGGGGGAGGTAAAGACAGCCAACTTGCAAAGGGGGGAAACAGGAAGACTAAAGCTATAAGGAGAGAAATTAGAAGAAAAGGAGGAGCAAAAAACTGCTCCAGCTAAGGAAAAGTCACTAAGGCAAACGAGAGGGAAGGGGGTGTTGAAAGGAAACAGCTGGTCGGTGGGATCGGGAGGAAGATAAGGGACGCTAGTGGAGGCTGCCTGGGAGGGGGGAGGTAAAAGCCCATGGATCCTCAGGATTTTTACATTGGGTCACCCCAAATTCACCATCAGATCACATGTCTGTGGCCACAGCATGAACCACAAAAATCATACATCCACTGTTTCCTTCAGAATATTTTTTTTTCTTGTTTTCCTCCTCTTAAAACTAGGTGCATCTTATGGAGCGAAAAATACAGTAAGCAGGGGCGTGCTAACATACCCCATGAGCTGCCAAGGTGGGATGACTGGCTTCACTGTTTGGCCTCTTGTTATTTTCTCCTACCAATAGGGAACCCACTTAAGGACTTTATACGGGCTCTTGGATACCCCTTAAGGGAAAAAGGAGCCGTCCCCCCCCTTATAACAATGCTTTTAGGGTGGTCTTTGGTTAAGAGGTTGGGCAATGTCCAAAAGTAATTAAAGGGACTTGCACACTTTTTGATGCCTCCTTGCAAGGAGGCGAGGGGACTCTCTTGCAACAGAAAAAGATCTGCCTTGCTTTCCACTGGTTCCTGCCTCCGTCCATTCTTCTCTGACCGATCATAGACTGAGAGGACTCGGAATCCCTTGGGGAGTTGGGTTGGCAGCAAAAGCCCACCCTCAATTTCCCCACAACAATTTCCCCGCAACTACATAGGCCCTATACAAGCACAAAGAGCAACAGGAAGCCTCCAAACTATTTTTATTTTCCCATCACTACCACGTCTGTGGGGCTCAAAACGCCACCCACACTTGCACAAGCCAGACCACAGTTTCCTTTGGAGGGGAAGTGAAATATACTCGGAGTTCTGTGGTGATTTCATGCTCTTTATTGCAACTTGTAAAACAGCGATTGAACTGCTCCCCAAACCTCAGGCTTTTATATACATTATTTACACAATTAAAGGTAAAGGTAAAGGGACCCCTGACTGTTAGGTCCAGTCGTGACTGTTAAGTTGTGGGCTGACATAGCAGACGACACAGCGATTTCTCCAAAGCAGCTCTTTATTTTGTAAGCTGGAACAGAACTAACTGAGGAGCTCAGTCAGCCTGCTTATATAGAGCTCCAGAACAATTGTAACTGTTGCAACGCTCTAAAACTATCCAATCACTGAACGTTACTTTTCGATCCTTCATTTGCATACAAAACTATCCAATCACTGAACGTCACTTTTTGATCCTTCATTTGCATAACTATCTACCGTATCCCCCTGCTGGCCCAGGGTGAGAACTTCAGTACATAACAGTGACTGACTCTGGGGTTGCGGCGCTCATCTCGCTTTACTGGCCGAGGGAGCCGGCGTACAGCTTCCGGGTCATGTGGCCAGCATGACTAAGCCACATCTGGCAAACCAGAGCAGCGCACGGAAACGCCGTTTACCTTCCCGCCGGAGCGGTACCTATTTATCTACTTGCACTTGCTTTCGAACTGCTAGGTTGGCAGGAGCAGGGACCGAGCAACAGGAGCTCACCCCGTCACGGGGATTTGAACCGCCAACCTTCTGATTGGCAAGTCCTAGGCTCTGTGGTTTAACTCACAGTGCCACCCGCGTCCCGTAAGATTCAGAATTAAGAAGTGTAAAAACAATATTACAGTTGCAGAAACATGCTCCTCCCAGGAAAATGAACCGGGGAAATTTGATTTCCTTGAACTGGAAGGCATTAGTTTCCTGCAACAGCAGAGTAAGGAGGACTTAACTCTTCATCAAATCTGGCCCGTTAAAAAAAATATTTTTATTAAAGTTTTATTGGTTTACTTTGAAAAAAGTTTTGACACCACTGCTGCTATGCCCCCCCCTTTTAGGATCCCCTTTTAGTATCCATCAGTTAAATGTGCCACACGTTTAGTCCAATTACTAATTGCATCAAACTGGAAAGGGGGGAAAGTACCAACATTAAGGGAATGGCAGAACAAATTATTAGATTACGCAGAAATGGCTCTATTAACAAATAAACTATTCAAAAACCATTCAAAAATGGGATATGTTCTATGAGACAAGGACAAATGCGATTTCAAAGATGAATGGGAACCTTTTACAAAGTACCGTATTTACCGTATTTTTCGCCCTATAGGACGCACTTCCCCCCCTCCAAAAATGAAGGGGAAATGTATGTGTGTCCTATGGGGCGAATGCAGGCTTTCGCTGAAGCCTGGAGAGCGAGAGGGGTCGGTGCTTCCAGGCTTCAGGAAGCTATCCGCAAGCCTTGGGAGCCCGCGGGAGTTTCCGCCGGGCTCCCTAGGCTTGCAGATAGCAGCCTGCACCCCGAAGCCTTGGGCTTCGGGCAGATATCTGCAAGCCTGGAGAGCCCGGCGGATAGCAGGTTTTGAATAAACACTCACAAATATTTTATTGACAATAATCAATTAGATAACCTAAGGATTTATACA